CCATACCCATTGACCCCCATACCCATTGACCCCCACACCCCATTGACCCCCATACCCATTGACCCCCATACCCATTGACCCCCATACCCATTGACCCCCATACCCATTGACCCCCATACCCATTGACCCCCCCACCCCATTGACCCCCCCACCCCATTGACCCCCACACCCCATTGACCCCCATACCCATTGACCCCCCCATACCCATTGACCCCCACACCCCATTGACCCCCACACCCCATTGACCCATTGACCCCCCCACCCCATTGACCCCCATACCCATTGACCCCCATACCCATTGACCCCCACACCCCATTGACCCCCATACCCATTGACCCCCACACCCCATTGACTCCCCCATACCCATTGACCCCCATACCCATTGACCCCCACACCCCATTGACCCCCTTACCCCATTGACCCCCATACCCATTGACCCCCATACCCATTGACCCCCACACCCCATTGACCCCCCCACCCCATTGACCCCCATACCCATTGACCCCCATACCCATTGACCCCCATACCCATTGACCCCCATACCCATTGACCCCCACACCCCATTGACCCCCACACCCCATTGACCCCCACACCCCATTGACCCCCATACCCATTGACCCCCACACCCCATTGACCCCCATACCCATTGACCCCCACACCCCATTGACCCCCATACCCATTGACCCCCATACCCATTGACCCCCATTGCCCCCCATACCCATTGACCCCCATACCCATTGACCCCCCATACCCCATTGCCCCCTATACCCCCCCTCTCCTGGCAGCCATCCCTATGGAGCTGCTGTTCGGGCGCCGGAAGACGCCGGAGGAGCTGCTCCGGCAGAACCAGCGCGCCCTGGCCCGGGCCATGCGGGACCTGGATCGGGAACGCTCCAAGCTGGAAGCGCAGGAGAAGAAAATCATCCTGGACATCAAGAAGATGGCGAAGCAGGGCCAGATGGTGGGGACGGCCGCGGGATAACAGTGGGATAACAGTGGGATAACGTCGGGATAACGTCGGGATAACGTGGGGATAACGTCGGGATAATGTCGGGATAACGTGGGGATAATGTCGGGATAACGTTGGGATAACGTCGGGATAACGTGGGGATAACGTGGGGATAATGTCGGGATAATGTCGGGATAACGTCGGGATAACGTGGGGATAATGTCGGGATAACGTGGGATAACGTGGGGATAACAGAGGGATAACAGTGGGATAACAGTGGGATAATGTCGGGATAACATGGGGATAACGTCGGGATAACGTGGGGATAACAGAGGGATAACAGTGGGATAACAGAGGGATAACGTGGGGATAACGTCGGGATAGCGTTGGGATAACAGAGGGATAACGTGGGGATAACGTGGGGATAACAGAGGGATGATGTCGGGATAACAGTGGGATAATGTCGGGATAACGTCGGGATAATGTCGGGATAACGTGGCGATAACGTCGGGATAACGTGGGGATAACGTCGGGATAACGAGGGGATAACGTCGGGATAACGTTGGGATAATGTCGGGATAACAGTGGGATAACAGTGGGATAACGTGGGATAACAGTGGGATAATGTCGGGATAACGTGGGGATAACGTGGGGATAACGTGGGGATAACGTGGGGATAACAGAGGGATAATGTCGGGATAATGGGATAATGTCGGGATAATGTCGTGTTAACGTCGGGATAACGTCGGGATAACGTGGGGATAATGTCTGGATAACGTGGGATAACGTGGGGATAACAGAGGCATAACAGAGGCATAACAGTGGGATAATGTCAGGATAACGTTGGGATAACGTGGGGATAACGTCGGGATAACGTGGGGATAACGTGGGGATAACGTCGGGATAACGTGGGATAACATGGGGATAACGTCGGGATAACGTGGGATAGCGTCGGGATAACGTGGGGATAACAGTGGGATAATGTCGGGATAACAGTGGGATAATGTTGGGATAACGTCGGGATAACATGGGGATAATGTCGGGATAACGTGGCGATAACGTCGGGATAACGTGGGGATAACGTCGGGATAACGAGGGGATAACGTCGGGATAACGTTGGGATAATGTCGGGATAATGTCGTGTTAACGTCGGGATAACGTCGGGATAACGTTGGGATAACGTCGGGATAACGTCGCGATAACATGGGGGTAATGTCGGGATAACGTGGGGATAACGTTGGGATAACGTGGGGATAACGTGGGGATAACAGTGGGATAACGTGGGGATAACGTCGGGATAACGTCGGGATAACAGTGGGATAATGTCGGGATAACGTGGGGATAACAGTGGGATAACATTGGGATAACATCGGGATAACAGTGGGATAATGTCAGGATAACAGTGGGATAACATTGGGATAACATCGGGATAACAGTGGGATAACAGTGGGATAATGTCGGGATAGTGGGATAACGTTGGGAATAACATGGGATAGCATTGGGATAACATTGGGATAACAGTGGGATAACAGTGGGAATAGTGTGGGATAGCGTTTCGATAACATTGGGATAACAGTGGGAATCGCATGGGATAGCGTTGGGATAACAGTGGGATAACAGTGGGATAACGTCAGGAATAATGTGGGATAGCGTTGGGATAACAGTGGGATAACAGTGGGATAACGTCGGGAATAACGTGGGACAGCGTTGGGATAACAGTGGGATATTGTGGGATAGCATTGGGGTAGTGTGGCAAGAGGGTGGGATAGGGTGGGAATAGCATTGGGAATTCCTTGGGATGGGGATGAAGGAACCGGGAATGCCTTGGGATGGGGACCACAAGGAACCAGGAATGCCTTGGGATGGGGATGAAGGGACCGGGAATGCCTTGGGATGGGGATGAAGGGACCAGGAATGCCTTGGGATGGGGATGGAGGGACCGGGAATCCCTTGGGATGGGGATGAAGGGACCGGGAATGCTTTGGGATGGGGACCACAAGGAACCAGGAATGCCTTGGGATGGGGGTGAAGGAACCAGGAATGCCTTGGGATGGGGATGAAGGGACCAGGAATGCCTTGGGATGGGGATGGAGGGACCGGGAATCCCTTGGGATTGGGATGAAGGGACCGGGAATGCTTTGGGATGGGGATGAAGGGACCGGGAATCACTTGGGATTGGGATGAAGGGATTGGGAATACCTTGGGATGGGGATGAAGGAACCGGGAATGCCTTGGGATGGGGATGAAGGGACTGGGAATGCCTTGGGATGGGGATGAAGGGATTGGGAATACCTTGGGATGGGGATGAAGGAACCGGGAATGCCTTGGGATGGGGATGAAGGGACCGGGAATGCCTTGGGATGGGGATGAAGGAACCAGGAATGCCTTGGGATGGGGATGAAGGGACCAGGAATGCCTTGGGATGGGGATGAAGGGACCGGGAATGCCTTGGGATGGGGATGAAGGGACCGGGAATGCCTTGGGATGGGGATGAAGGAACCAGGAATCCCTTAGGATTTGGGATGAAGGGACCAGGAATGCTTTGGGATGGGGATGAAGAGACCAGGAATGCCTTGGGATGTGGATGAAGGGACCGGGAATCCCTTAGGATTTGGGATGAAGGGATTGGGAATGCCTTGGGATGGGGATGAAGGAACCGGGAATGCCTTGGGATGTGGATGAAGGGACCGGGAATCCCTTAGGATTTGGGATGAAGGGACCAGGAATGCTTTGGGATGGGGATGAAGGGACCAGGAATCCCTTGGGATGGGGATGAAGGGACCGGGAATCCCTTAGGATTTGGGATGAAGGGACCAGGAATGCTTTGGGATGGGGATGAAGGGACCAGGAATCCCTTGGGATTGGATGAAGGGACTGGGAATCCCTTGGGATGGGGATGAAGGAACCGGGAATCCCTTGGGATGGGGATGAAGGGATCGGGAATCCCTTGGGATGGGGATGAAGGGACCGGGAATCCCTTGGGATGGGGCTGACGGCGGGGTCCCCATTGAGCTCCGTGGCGGCGCCTCCAGGACGCGGTGAAGATCATGGCCAAGGACCTGGTGCGGACGCGGCGCTACGTGAGGAAGTTCATCACCATGAGAGCCAACGTCCAGGCCGTGGCCCTCAAGATCCAGACCCTCAAATCCAACAACTCCATGGCGCAGGCCATGAAGGGGGTCACCAAAGCCATGGCCACCATGAACCGGCAGGTGGGGGGCAACGAGGGGCAAGGCCGGGGCCACCAGGACGTGGCTACGGGGGGGTCAAGGTGGTGGCCTCCATGGGTTGGTTCCCCCATGGGTTGGGTCCTCCATGGGTTGGTTCCCCCATGGGTTGGTTCCTCCATGGGTTGGTGCCTCCATGGGTTGGGTCCTCCATGGGTTGGTGCCTCCATGGGTTGGGTCCTCCATAGGTTGGGTCCTCCGTGGGTTGGGTTCTCCATGGGTTGGTGCCTCCATGGGTTGGTGCCTCCATGGGGTGGGTCCTCCATGGGTTGGGTCCTCCATGGGGTGGTGCCTCCATGGGTTGGTGCCTCCATGGGTTGGTTCCTCCATGGGTTGGGTCCTCCATGGGTTGGGTCCTCCATGGGGTGGTGCCTCCATGGGGTGGTGCCTCCATGGGTTGGGTCCTCCATGGGTCCTCCATGGGTTGGGTCCTCCATGGGTTGGGTCCTCCATGGGGTGGTGCCTCCATGGGGTGGTGCCTCCATGGGTTGGGTCCTCCATGGGTCCTCCATGGGTTGGGTCCTCCATGGGTTGGGTCCTCCATGGGTTGGGTCCTCCATGGGTTGGTGCCTCCATGGGTTGGTTCCTCCATGGGTTGGTGCCTCCATGGGTCCTCCATGGGTTGGTGCCTTCATGGGTTGGTTCCTCCATGGGTTGGGTCCTCCATGGGTTGGTTCCCCCATGGGTTGGGTCCTCCATGGGATGGTGCCTCCATGGGGTGGTGCCTCCATGGGTTGGTTCCTCCATGGGTTGGGTCCTCCATGGGTTGGGTCCTCCATGGGTTGGGTCCTCCATGGGTTGGGTCCTCCATAGGTTGGGTCCTCCATAGGTTGGGTCCTCTATGGGTTGGGTGCTCCATGGGTTGGGTCCTCCATGGGTTGGGTCCTCCATGGGTTGGGTCCTCCATGGGTTGGGTCCTCCATGGGGTGGTGCCTCCATGGGGTGGTGCCTTCATGGGTTGGGTCCTCCATGGGTTGGGTCCTCCATGGGTCCTCCATGGGTTGGGTCCTCCATGGGTTGGTGCCTCCATGGGTTGGTGCCTCCATGGGTTGGTTCCCCCATGGGTTGGTTCCTCCATGGGTTGGTTCCCCCATGGGTTGGTGCCTCCATGGGTTGGGTCCTCCATGGGTTGGGTCCTCCATGGGTTCCATGGGTTGGGTCCTCCATGGGTTGGTGCCTCCATGGGTTGGGTCCTCCATGGGTTGGGTCCTCCATGGGTTGGGTCCTCCATGGGTTGGTGCCTCCATGGGTTGGGTGCTCCATGGGTTGGGTCCTCCATGGGTTGGGTCCTCCATGGGTTGGGTCCTCCATGGGTCCTCCATGGGTTGGTTCCCCCATGGGTTGGTTCCCCCATGGGTTGGGTCCCCCATGGGTTGGGTCCTCCATGGGTTGGTGCCTCCATGGGTTGGGTCCTCCATGGGTTGGTTCCCCCATGGGTTGGGTCCTCCATGGCTCGGTGGCCCCATGGCTCGGTGGCCCCATGGCTCAGTGGCCCCATGTCCCCCTGCGCAGCTGAAGCTGCCCCAGATCCAGAAGATCATGATGGACTTCGAGAAGCAGGCCGAGATCATGGACATGAAGGAGGAGCTGATGAACGACGCCATCGATGACGCCATGGGGGACGAGGAGGATGAGGAGGAGAGGTGGGAGCAATGGGGACATCAATGGGGTATCAATGGGGTATCAATGGGGACCAATGGGAACATCAGAGGACACCAATGGGGACACCAATGGGGTATCAATGGGGACCAATGGGTACATCAGAGGACACCAATGGGGACACCAATGGGGACATCAATGGGGTATCAATGGGGACCAATGGGTACATCAGAGGACACCAATGGGGATCAATGGGAGGACCAGTTGGGACCAATTGGAACACCAATGGGGACATCAATGGGGTACCAATTTGGACACCAATGGGGACATCAGTGGGGTACCAATGGGAGCATCAGAGGACACCAATGGGGACCAATGGGGACATCAGTGGGGGACCAATGGGAGCATCAGAGGATACCAATGGGGACATCAATGGGGACCAATGTGTACATCAGAGGACACCAGTGGGGACACCAATGGGGATCAATGGGGACACCACTGGGGCACCAATGGGAGAACCAGTTGGAACCAGTTTGGACACCAATGGGGACCAATGGGGACATCAGTGGGGACCAAGGGGGACACCAGTTGGTTGGGTCATCAGGGGCAGCAATGGGGACCAATGAGGGGACCAATGGGGACATCAGTGGGCACCAATGGGGACCAATAGGACATCAATGGGGGCATCAGAGGACACCAATGGGGACATTCAATGGGGCACCAATGGGGACATCAGGGGGCAGCAATGGGATCACCAATGGGGCCATCAATGGGAACCAGTGGGGACATCAATGCGGCATCAGTGGGGCACCAGTGGGGACTAATGGGGGGTCCAATGGGGGGGCCATGGGGCGCTGGTGTCACCTCCTGCTGCTGTCCCCTCAGTGACGCCGTCGTGTCCCAAGTGCTGGATGAGCTGGGGCTGAACCTGACCGATGAGCTGGCCAGTGAGTGGGGCGCTATGGGGCAATGGGGGATATGGGGCAATGGGGGGCAATAGGGGATGTGGGGTAATGGAAGGTAAAGGGCTCTAGGATCTCTATGGGCTCTATGGGTACTATGGGGCTCTATGGGTGTTATGGGGCTCTATGGGTCTCTATGGGCTCTGTGGGGCTCTATGGGTGTTATGGGTGCTATGGGTCTCTGGGTGCTATGGGTCTCTGAGTGCTATGTGGTTCTATGGGCTCTGTGGGGCTCTATGGGTGCTATGGGGCTCTATGGGTGCTATGGGGATCTCTGGGGCTCTATGGGCTCAATGGGTGCTTTGGGTGTTGAGTGCTATGGGCTCTATGGGGCTCTGTGGTCTCTATGGGTCTCTATGGTCCCTATGGTCTCTATGGGTCTCTTTGGGTATCTGTGGGTCTCTATGGTCCCTATGGTCTCTATGCTCTCTTTGGGTCTCTTTGGGTCTCTATGGGTCTCTATGGGTCTCTATGCTCTCTATGGGTCTCTATGATCTCTATGGGTCCCTATGGGCTCTATGGGCTCTATGGGTCTCTATGCTCTCTACGATCTCTATGGGTCTCTATGGGTCCCTATGGCCTCTATGGGTCTCTATGCTCTCTATGATCTCTATGGGTCCCTATGGGTCTCTATGGGTCTCTATGATCTCTATGATCTCTATGGGTCTCTATGGGTCTCTATGGGTCTCTATGGGTGTCTATGGGTCCCTATGGGTCTCTATGAGTCCCTATGGGTCCCTATGGGTCTCTATGGGTCTCTATGATCTCTATGATCTCTATGGGTCTCTATGGGTCTCTATGGGTGTCTATGGGTCCCTATGGATCTCTATGGGTCTCTATGGGTCCCTATGGGTCCCTATGGGTCCCAATGGATCCCTATGGGTCCCTATGGGCTCTATGGGTCCCTATGGGCTCTATGGGTCCCTATGGGTCTCTATGGGTCCCTATGGGTCCCTATGGGCTCTATGGGTCCCTATGGGTCTCTATGGGTCCCTATGGTCTATATGGGTGTCTATGGGTCTCTATGGGTCCCTATGGGTCCCTATGGGTCTCTATGTGTCCCTATGGGTCTCTATGTGTCTCTATGTGTCTCTATGGGTCCCTATGGGTCTCTATGGCCTCTATGTGTCCCTATGGGTCCCTGTGTGTCCCTGTGGGGCTGCCCCTGACGCGGTTCCCGTTGCAGCGCTGCCGCCGCCAGGGGGCGCTCTCTCGGCGGGGGAGGGGCGCCCGGCCGAGCCCGCGGCCGCTTTGGCCGACGCCGACGCCGACCTGGAGGAGCGGCTCAAGAACCTGCGGCGGGACTGACCTCTGACCCCGTGACCCCGTGGCCTCTGACCCCTGACCCCGTGGCCTCTGACCCCCTGACCACGTGACCTCTGACCCCCTGACCACGTGACCCTCACCTTTGGCCGGTGACCCTGACCCCGTTACCTACAATCTCTGCTCTGTGACCTCTGACCCCTGGTCACTTGAACCGTGACTTGTGACCTTTGACCATGTGACTCGTGACCTGTGACCTCTGACCCCTCGTTCACATGAACCATGAGCTGTGACCAATGATCACATGACTCATGACCTGTGACCTCTAACCCCTCGTTCACATGAACCATGAGCTGTGACCAATGAGCACATGGCTCATGACCTGTGACCTCTGACCCCTCGTTCACATGAACCATGACTTGTGACCTTTGACCATGTGACTCGTGACCTGTGACCTCTGACCCCTCGTTGACATGAACCGTGAGCTGTGACCGATGACCACGTGACTCATGACCTGTGACCTCTGACCCCCATTCACATGGTCCATGACCTGTGACCAATGACCACGTGGCTCATGACCTGTGACCTCTGACCCCTCGTTCACATGGTCCATGAGCTGTGACCAATGACCACGTGGCTCATGACCTGTGACCTCTGACCCCCCCATTCACATGAACCATGACTTGTGACCTTTGACCACGTGGCTCATGACCTCTGACCCCTGACCACGTGGGCCATGAGCTGTGACCCTCTGACCGCATGAACTATGACCCCCATGACCTGTGACCACATGACCTCTGACCACATGACCTGGGACGTGTGCTCGCTGACCGCGTGACCCTGACCTTTGGCCGTTGACCCTGACCCCGTTACCTACAATCTCTGCTCTGTGACCTCTGACCCCTGGTCGCTTGAACCGTGGCTTGTGACCTTTGACCATGTGACTCGTGACCTGTGACCTCTGACCCCTCGTTCACATGAACCATGAGCTGTGACCGATGACCACATGACTCATGACCTGTGACCTCTGACCCCTCGTTCACATGAACCATGAGCTGTGACCGATGACCACATGACTCATGACCTGTGACCTCTGACCCCTCGTTCACATGAACCATGAGCTGTGACCAATGACCATGTGACTCATGACCTGTGACCTCTGACCCCTCGTTCACATGAACCATGAGCTGTGACCAATGACCATGTGACTCATGACCTGTGACCTCTGACCCCTCGTTCACATGAACCATGAGCTGTGACCAATGACCACGTGACTCATGACCTGTGACCTCTGACCCCCATTCACATGGTCCATGACCTGTGACCAATGACCACGTGGCTCATGACCTGTGACCTCTGACCCCTCGTTGACATGAACCGTGAGCTGTGACCAATGATCACGTGACTCATGACCTGTGACCTCTGACCCCCATTCACATGAACCATGAGCTGTGACCAATGACCACGTGACTCATGACCTGTGACCTCTGACCTCCGTTCACATGAACCATGACCTGTGACCAATGACCACGTGACTCATGACCTGTGACCTCTGACCCCTCGTTCACATGGTCCATGATCTGTGACCGATGACCACGTGGCTCATGACCTGTGACCTCTGACCCCTCGTTCACATGAACCATGAGCTGTGACCAATGATCACGTGGCTCATGACCTGTGACCTCTGACCCCTCGTTGACATGAACCGTGAGCTGTGACCAATGACCACGTGGCTCATGACCTGTGACCTATGACCCCTGACCACGTGGGCCATGAGCTGTGACCCTCTGACCGCATGAACCATGACCCACATGACCTGTGACCACGTGACCTGTGACCCGTGACTCCATGCCCTGTGACCTTTGACCCCGGCACTTAACCTACATGCTCTGCCCCCTCATCATGTGACCTACGACCTGTGCCACGTGCCTGTGACATATGATGCCTGAACCCCCATGTGACCTCCTGACGTGTGACCTTCGACCTCTGACCCCTCACCCGTGCCCTTCATCCGCTGACCCCGACCATGACCTGCGTCGTGTGACCTTTGACCCCATCCTGTGCCCTGACGATGCCCTTTGACCTTTAGTGACCCCAGGGCTGCCCCTGAGTCACCTTTGACCTCTCCCTGTGTCGGGGGGGGGGGCGCACCTGGGACACACTACAGGGGGGATCTGCCCCCCCATTGGCCAATTGCCCCCCCCTTGCCCCATTTACCCCCCCAATTGAGTTATTTACCCCCCTATTGAGTTATTTACCCCCCCATTGAGTTATTTACCCCCCTATTGGGTTATTTACCCCCCTATTGGGTTATTTACCCCCCCATTGGGTTATTTACCCCCCCATTGAGTTATTTACCCCCCTATTGGGTTATTTACCCCCCCATTGGGTTATTTACCCCCCTATTGGGTTATTTACCCCCCCTCAGCTTCTTACCCCCCCCACTATTTGCCCCCTCTTGGGGTATTTGCACTGCCCCCCCCCCCCCCCCCATTTACCCCCTTTGGGGGTTGCCCAAATAAAGGCCTGAGATTGGTTCCTGTTGCTTCCCCCCCCCGGCTGCTTCCTATGGGGTTGGGGGGGGCAGGATGGGACCGGGAATGATGGGAGTTGCATGGGATTCCAATGGAAAAGTGGGAATGTTTTCCCATCATGGGGGGGGGGGGGGGTTCCATGGAAAAGATGGGGTTTGGGAGCATGGGAATGGGATGGATGGGGGGGGGAGGGGGTGTCCAAGTGGGGAATGCCGGAATTCCAGGCGAAATTCCACCCAATTCCCAACAGTTCCCCTCCCCCACTTTGGCCTCTTCCCCTTTGTTTGCGCTTTTCCCGTTGGATTTTGGACTTCCCAGGTTGGGCTCCTCCCCCCCACGCCCCACCCCCCAAAAGGGCCAAAAACCAGCCAAAAAAAAACCGGGAATTCCATCCCAGGGGGAGCTGAGGTGAGCTTGGGAACGCCGGGAATACCGTGGGCTTTCGGTTGACCCCAAAACGGGTGCTTTTAGCCCCAAAACGGGTGGATTTAGCCCCAAAACGGGTGGATTTAGCCCCAAAACGGGTGGATTTAGCCCCAAAATGGGTGGATTTAGCCCCAAAACGGGTGGATTTAGCCCCAAAATGGGTGGATTTAACCCCAAAACAGGTGGATTTAGCCCCAAAACGGGTGGATTTAGCCCCAAAACAGGTGGATTTAGCCCCAAAACAGGGTGGATTTAGCCCCAAAACGGGTGGATTTAGCCCCAGAACAGGTGGATTTAGCCCCAAAACGGGTGGATTTAGCCCCAAAACGGGTGGATTTAGCCCCAAAAGAGGTGGATTTAGCCCCAAAATGGGTGGATTTAGCCCCAAAACGGGTGGATTTAGCCCCAAAACAGGTGGATTTAACCCCAAAACGGGTGGATTTAGCCCCAAAACGGGTGGATTTAGCCCCAAAAGAGGTGGATTTAGCCCCAAAACGGGTGGATTTAGCCCCAAAACGGGTGGATTTAGCCCCAAAACAGGTGGATTTAGCCCCAAAACAGGTGGATTTAACCCCAAAACAGGTGGATTTAACCCCAAAAGAGGTGGATTTAGCCCCAAAACCCCCAAAACGGGTGGATTTAGCCCCAAAACAGGTGGATTTAGCCCCAAAACAGGTGGATTTAACCCCAAAACAGGTGGATTTAACCCCAAAAGAGGTGGATTTAGCCCCAAAACGGGTGGATTTAGCCCCAAAATGGGTGGATTTAACCCCAAAACAGGTGGATTTAGCCCCAAAAAGGGTGGATTTAGCCCCAAAACATTTAGCCCCAAAACAGGTGGATTTAGCCCCAAAACGGGTGGATTTAGCCCCAAAACGGGTGGATTTAGCCCCAAAAGAGGTGGATTTAGCCCCAAAACGGGTGGATTTAGCCCCAAAACGGGTGGATTTAGCCCCAAAACGGGTGGATTTAGCCCCAAAACAGGTGGATTTAACCCCAAAACAGGTGGATTTAGCCCCAAAACGGGTGGATTTAACCCCAAAAGGGGTGGATTTAGCCCCAAAACAGGTGGATTTAGCCCCAAAACAGGTGGATTTAGCCCCAAAACAGGTGGATTTAGCCCCAAAACGGGTGGATTTAGCCCCAAAACAGGTGGATTTAACCCCAAAACAGGTGGATTTAGCCCCAAAACGGGTGGATTTAACCCCAAAACAGGTGGATTTAGCCCCAAAACGGGTGGATTTAGCCCCAAAACGGGTGGATTTAGCCCCAAAACGGGTGGATTTAACCCCAAAACAGGTGGATTTAGCCCCAAAACGGGTGGATTTAGCCCCAAAAGAGGTGGATTTAGCCCCAAAACGGGTGGATTTAGCCCCAAAACGGGTGGATTTAGCCCCAAAAGAGATGGATTTAGCCCCAAAACGGGTGGATTTAGCCCCAAAACGGGTGGATTTAGCCCCAAAACAGGTGGATTTAACCCCAAAACAGGTGGATTTAGCCCCAAAACGGGTGGATTTAACCCCAAAACTGGTGGATTTAGCCCCAAAACGGGTGGATTTAGCCCCAAAACGGGTGGATTTAGCCCCAAAACAGGTGGATTTAGCCCCAAAACAGGTGGATTTAGCCCCAAAACAGGTGGATTTAGCCCCAAAACGGGTGGATTTAACCCCAAAACGGGTGGATTTAGCCCCAAAACGGGTGGATTTAGCCCCAAAACAGGTGGATTTAACCCCAAAACAGGTGGATTTAGCCCCAAAACGGGTGGATTTAGCCCCAAAACAGGTGGATTTAACCCCAAAACGGGTGGATTTAGCCCCAAAACAGGTGGATTTAGCCCCAAAACGGGTGGATTTAGCCCCAAAAGAGGTGGATTTAGCCCCAAAACAGGTGGATTTAGCCCCAAAAGAGGTGGATTTAGCCCCAAAACAGGTGGATTTAGCCCCAAAACAGGTGGATTTAGCCCCAAAACGGGTGGATTTAGCCCCAAAACGGGTGGATTTAGCCCCAAAACGGGTGGATTTAGCCCCAAAACGGGTGGATTTAGCCCCAAAACAGGTGGATTTAGCCCCAAAACGGGTGGATTTAGCCCCAAAACGGGTGGATTTAGCCCCAAAATGGGCCCCAAAATGGGTGGATTTAGCCCCAAAAGAGGTGGATTTAGCCCCAAAACGGGTGGATTTAGCCCCAAAACGGGTGGATTTAGCCCCAAAACAGGTGGATTTAGCCCCAAAACGGGTGGATTTAGCCCCAAAACAGGTGGATTTAGCCCCAAAACAGGTGGATTTAGCCCCAAAACAGGTGGATTTAGCCCCAAAACTGGTGGATTTAGCCCCAAAACAGGTGGATTTAGCCCCAAAACGGGTGGATTTAGCCCCAAAACAGGTGGATTTAGCCCCAAAACAGGTGGATTTAGCCCCAAAACAGGTGGATTTAACCCCAAAACAGGTGGATTTAGCCCCAAAACGGGTGGATTTAGCCCCAAAAGAGGTGGATTTAGCCCCAAAACGGGTGGATTTAACCCCAAAACGGGTGGATTTAGCCCCAAAATGGGTGGATTTAACCCCAAAACGGGTGGATTTAGCCCCAAAACGGGTGGATTTAGCCCCAAAACGGGTGGATTTAGCCCCAAAACGGGTGGATTTAGCCCCAAAACGGGTGGATTTAGCCCCAAAACGGGTGGATTTAGCCCCAAAACGGGTGGATTTAGCCCCAAAACAGGTGGATTTAGCCCCAAAACGTGTGCTTTTAGCCCCCAAAATGGCACATTCGGGAGCCAGGAATGGTTGGGAATGATGGGGGGAGGCGTTGGGATGGGATTGGGATGAGGCCACGGAGCTGCCCCAATCCATCTGGATCTCAATCCCATTGCAGCTCTTCAATCCCAAACTCTGGAATTGGCCGTTGGGATGCGGATGCTCAAGGTATTTAGCCCAAAACGGGTGGATTTAACCCCAAAACGGTGGATTTAGGGTGGATTTAGCACCTTTTTTTGGGGGGGGGGGTATGGGATTTATGAGCATTCCATAGGGAAAAGCGGGATCAAATCCATCTGATCCATGGATAAGAACGGGGTTGGGAGCAATTGAACTGGGTCAATGCATCCCCCATCTTTGGTTCCCCACAGCTCTTCCTCCTCCTCTTCTTCCTCCTCCGAGGGCCTGGAATGGCTCCAATGGGAGCGATGGGAATTCGGTGGCGCCGGGGTGAGTCCGGGTCCTGGTGGGGTTTGATCCATGGGGATGCTGCGTTGGGATGAAGCTGGTCCAATGTGGGTCCATCCATTGGGATGACGCTGGTCCAATGGGCTCCATCCATTGAGATGAAGCTGGTCAGATGGGGCTCCATCCATTGGGCTCCATCCATTGGGATGAAGCTGGTCCAATGGGGTTCCATCCATTGGGATGAAGCTGGTCCAATGGGGCTCCATCCATTGGGATGAACCCGCTCCAATGTGGCTCCATCCATTGGGATGAACCTGGTCCAATGGGGCTCCATCCATTGGGATGAAGCTGGTCCAATGGGGCTCCATCCATTGGGATGAACCCGCTTCAATGTGGGTCCATCCATTGGGATGAAGCTGGTCCAATGGGATGAAGCTGGTCCAATGGGCTCCATCCATTGGGATGAAGCTGGTCCAATGTGGGTCCATCCATTGGGATGGGTCCATCCATTGGGATGAAGCTGGTCCAATGGGGCTCCATCCATTGGGATGAAGCTGGTCCAATGGGGCTCCATCCATTGGGATGAAGCTGGTCCAATGGGGGTCCATCCATTGGGATGAACCTGGTCCAATGGGGCTCCATCCATTGGGATGAAGCTGGTCCAATGGGGCTCCATCCATTGGGATGAAGCTGGTCCAATGGGGCTCCATCCATTGGGATGAACCTGGTCCAATGGGGCTCCATCCATTGGGATGAAGCTGGTCCAATGGGGCTCCATCCATTGGGATGAACCTGGTCCAATGGGGCTCCATCCATTGGGCTGAAGCTGGTCCAATGGGGCTCCATCCTTTGGGATGACGCTGGTCCAATGGGGCTCCATCCATTGGGATGAAGCTGGTCCAATGGGGCTCCATCCATTGGGATGAAGCTGGTCCAATGGGGCTCCATCCATTGGGATGAAGCTGGTCCAATGGGGCTCCATCCATTGGGATGAAGCTGGTCCAATGGGGCTCCATCCATTGGGATGAAGCTGGTCCGATGGGGCTCCATCCATTGGGATGAAGCTGGTCCGATGGGGGTCCATCCATTGGGATGAAGCTGGTCCGATGGGGCTCCATCCATTGGGATGAAGCTGGTCCAATGGGGCTCCATCCATTGGGATGAACCCGCTTCAATGTGGGTCCATCCATTGGGATGAAGCTGGTCCAATGGGGGTCCATCCATTGGGATGAAGCTGGTCCAATGGGGGTCCATCCATTGGGATGAACTTGCTCCCATGTGGGTCCATCCATTGGGATGAACCTGCTCCAATGTGGCTCCATCCATTGGGATGAACCTGCTCCAATGTGGCTCCATCCATTGGGATGAACCCGCTCCATCCATTTGGGATGAACCCGCTCCAATTGGGATGAAGCGCAGCTCCATCCATTGGGATGAACCCGCTCCAACCTCTCCATCCATTGGGATGAACCCACCCCCATTGGGCCCCCCACATCCCTTTTTTCCCCCTATAGCCACCCCTTGGCTCCCGGAGGACCCCCCTTCCCCCCTGCAATGGGTGCCCTTCCAAGGCCGCCTCCCCCCGGACGCCGTCTCCAACTGGAACGCCCATTCCCAACGCCTGGAATTCGTCTGCTCCTCTCTCAGCTGCCACACCGGCGCCTACGTCCCCTCCCGGGGTCCCTTTTGCTTCTTCCCCTTCGCCGAGCGCGAGCATCGCGCCCCAGCCTTCAAGCTCTTGGTCAACGCCGGCGGCCTTGAGGACCTCCAATGGGTCAACGCGTCCTTCGGGGCCGTTCCGGAGGGCGCCGTCGAGAGCTGCCCCCACGACGACATCTTCGTGGCCAGGACCTCCTATGGCTTGGGTAAGGTGGTGAAGGAGCAACGCGCGGCCTTCGTGGTGGTGGACGGGGAGGAGCTGTGGTTCAAGTGGTACCAAGTGTTGACCGTCAAGAAGGGCCCGTCCAATGTCAGCGTCGCCGACGTGGTCTACAACACGAGCGGAGCGGTGCTGAGCGCGGAGGACGTCACCTTGAGCAGCGCCACGGTGAGGAACCACGGCTGCGCCCCCCAAGTGAAGCTCATCCCCATGGAAGCGGTCTCGGAAGTGGAGCACGATTGGGTCTTGAGGCCCAACTTCTTCGGCGGGCTCCGCGGGACGCTCGAAGCGGCCCCGTTGCTCTTCAACGGGAGCGGGTGGGAGGCGGGCGCCGCGGGCGCCGTGCCGTGGGTGGGGGGAGCCAGCACCATGGAATACGTGCTCCATAGGGACGCGACGGAGCGGGAGGTGGCAGCGGGAAGCGCCTGTAGAGCGGCGTTGGTCGGGCGCCGCGTGGACGCGCGCGTGCCCTTCACCGCCCGCCTGACGCGAGGCTACGGGGATGGGCGCCGGCACGGAGGGGCCGCAGGAGGATGGGCGAGGGTGAGGGTGGTGCTGGGGGTCAGGCCCAGCTTCGGGCCATGTTGGCCCCTGGAAGGGGTGGGCCCGTGTCGAGTGTGAGGTGTGAGGGTTAGGGGTAGGGGTAGGGGTAGGGGTAGGGGTAGGGGTAGGGTTAGGGTTAGGGGTTAGGGTTAGGGTTAGGGGTAGGGTTAGGGTTAGGGGTAGGGTTAGGGGTAGGGTTAGGGTTAGGGGTTAGGGGTAGGGTAGGGTTAGGGTTAGGGTTAGGGGTAGGGTTAGGGGTTAGGGTTAGGGTTAGGGTTAGGGTTAGGGGTAGGGTTAGGGTTGGGGTTAGGGTTAGGGTTAGGGTTAGGGGTAGGGTTAGGGTTAGGTTTAGGTGTAGGGTTAGGGTTAGGGTTAGGGTTAGGGTTAGGGTTAGGGTTAGGGTTAGGGTTAGGGTTAGGGTTAGGGTTAGGGGTAGGGTTAGGGTTAGGGTTAGGGTTAGGGTTAGGGGTAGGGTTAGGGTTAGGGGTAGGGTTAGGGGTAGGGTTAGGGTTAGGGTTAGGGTTAGGGTTAGGGTTAGGGTTAGGGTTAGGGTTAGGGTTAGGGGTTAGGGGTAGGGTTAGGGTTAGGGTTAGGGTTAGGGTTAGGGTTAGGGTTAGGGTTAGGGTAGGGTTAGGGTTAGGGTTAGGGATAGGGTTAGGGGTAGGGTTAGGGTTAGGGTTAGGGTTAGGGGTAGGGTTAGGGGTAGGGTTAGGGGTAGGGGTAGGGTTATGGTCATCATCCCACATCATCCCGTCCCATCCCTATTTCCCATCCCTATATCCCCATCCCCACATCCCCATGTCCTCATCATCCATTCCCATCCCCTCATCCCTTTGCCCTCCAGCTTTAACCCCCCTCTTCTTATGGAAAGGGGTGAGGATGCTTTGGGAATGATGTGCCATTCATTCCTTAGGGAATCCCTTATCCCAAAGTCCCCATGGAAAGGGATTTGGGATTGATGTGCCATTCATTCCATAGGGAATCCCTTATCCCAAAGTCCCCATGGAAAGGCATTTGGGATTGATGTGCCATGGTGTGACGGAGGCGACGTCATCCCCATGGATCCCAGCTTAAACCCGGCACAGACGGGGCCATTGTGAGCCCTTGGCTCTGTCCTCAAGCCCTACCCATAGGCAAACAGCACCAGCACCCCTCGTGACCCGGCTCAGCACCGCATCCTGCCCCATTCATCCCCCTGAAAGCTCAAGTTGAGAGGGGAAAATCCTTGCAGTGATTGATGGCAAATAAAACCCTATTGGTTTGGGGTGGAGGATGGAGTGGTTTGCACTGATTGATGGCAAATAAAACCCTATTGGTTTGGGGTGGAGGATGGAGTGGTTTGCACTGATTGATGGCAAATAAACCCCATGGTTTGGGGTGGAGGATGGAGTGGTTTGCAGTGATTGATGGCAAATAAAACCCTATTGGTTTGGGGTGGAGGATGGAGTGGTTTGCACTGATTGATGGCAAATAAAACCCTATTGGTTTGGAATGGAGGATGGAGTGGTTTGCACTGATTGATGGCAAATAAAACCCTATTGGTTTGGGGTGGAGGATGGAGTGGTTTGCACTGATTGATGGCAAATAAAACCCCTATTGGTTTGGGGTGGAGGATGGAGTGGTTTGCACTGATTGATGGCAAATAAAACCCCTATTGGTTTGGGGTGGAGGATGGAGTGGTTTGCACTGATTGATGGCAAATAAACCCCATGGTTTGGGGTGGAGGATGGAGAGGTTTGCACTGATTGATGGCAAATAAAACCCTATTGGTTTGGGGTGGAGGATGGAGTGGTTTGCACTGATTGATGGCAAATAAAACCCTATTGGTTTGGGGTGGAGGATGGAGTGGTTTGCACTGATTGCCCCCTCCTCTGTGCACCAAGCCAATGTCAATGCACTGATGGCTCTTTCAATGGGCTCCTCCATCCCCACCGTTGGATTTCACTCCTTTGGGGGCCGTTTTGCAGGTCACATCACGGCATTGGGGCTGCCAAAGGAGGTCCCAAAGGAGCAGGATCCCCCTCTCCTTGGATCTGATGCTCAAAGCAGCGCGACGTCGACACAGCCAAGCCTCTCCCACCACCCTGCCACCGATGCTGAGCCCCCGAGATGCTCCCCATGGAGCCCGGCCTTAAATCAGAGGCCACAAAGAGCTGGGATCCGCTCCAACAAGAGGGATTTCAGCCAAAGATCCCCCTGAGCCGGGTGGGAATCGGATCCAGGATGGAAAAGTTGAGGAGCTGGCCTGAAAGCTTGGGATTCCCAAGCTCTGGGGCTGAAGAAGACCTATGGAGTGACAGGGGAGGGCAACGGGGATGGGATTGGAGGGGGCTACAAAGCCCATTGGAGGTAAATCGGCTCAAGCTGAAGGCCCAAGGGCTGCTTTTTCCCCATGGAAAAGGTGGGATTCGGGATCCCATCACACACAGGAGGTGGTGCTGGCGTTGGGAATATGAGCTCCCTGATGCTCTGCTATCCCATGGGATCGCTCCTCCGGCCCTGTTCCAGCCCTCCTCTGTGTAATTCCTGGTGTGCTATCCAAAACCATCCATTCCTTGACCCTTTTTTTGTCTAAATACGACCCAAAATGTGCAACGGGACGGGTGCTGAGCCCTGCATTGCTCCTCCTGCATCCCAGCGCTCACCTGGGGCATCTCCTCCCGTCCAGGCCAATCAGAGATGCCTGTATCTCCATCCTTCACGTGTGTCCATGGCAACAGCGGGTCCATGGTCCAAGCATCCTGGGTGCATCCGAACTGATGGAGTGGGATTAAACCAGCACCTCGGGCTTTGGGGTCCTCCGAGGATGGGGTGGGCTCCTTCCTGCCTTCATCAAGGGGTCTCCCTCCCATCCACACCTCATCCCATTGGGAAGAGCCAGCCCCCCCCCCCCCAATTTGCTTTCGGCCTCAGCACCACCAGGAGGGGCTTTCCCCTTCATCCAACGGATGGAAGAGCATGGGAAGAGGGAAGCAGCACAGGGAAAAGCAAGGAAAAGAGGGAGGAGAACAGGCACTGGGAGGGGGAGAGGCCACTTAAAGGGAGGAGCCAGGGTGAGCCCTATTTGTCCCTTGGTCCTCGCAGTCCTCTCTCCTCCTTTGGTAGCCACCGGCTCTGTCTTTCCCATCGGGACCATCCTGCTCTTCCAAGGAGCTCATTGCATGGCACCACCAGGGATCCTCCATCTCCCAAGCCCTGGAAGCCTGGGTTCCTTCCACGGGAGCAGGATGGAAAGGGGGCTCTTCCTCTTGGCATGGCTTTGGGGTAAGCGTTTGCCTCCGGTGTTGGGGTGCAGGGTCCTGGATAGGGGGCTCGGGATGGATGGAGCCCCCTTGTTGAAGGCATGGAAATGGGGAGGGGGGGGGGGGTTTGTGGCTGGGATAAGATCCGGGAAGCTTGGCATTGGGAAAGGAGCTCGGGATTGGGGACTCGGGGAGCCGAAGGGCATCCGGAGATGGAGAGGCGTTGGCAAGGCAAATACACAGGGATCAGCCCTAGGCCAACAGGGAAGCAAAGAGAGATTGACAGGGGTAATCCCAAAGGTAATCCTGCTGCCTCCCTTCCCCCTGGGGCCATAGGGCGGGTTGGAACCAGCACCCAAGGGTGAGTGAACAGGATAGAGCCCTCCTCCCCCCCAGGAGGAGCCATTCCAGCCTCTAAATCAGTGCCAGCCAATAACCGACCCCAAAAAGGGGGGAAAGAATGGGGTGTGAAGTGGAGGGAAGGGATTTGGATATGGAGGGAAGGGATTTGGATACGGAGGGAAGGGATTTGGATACGGAGGGAAGGGATTTGGATACGGAGGGAAGGGATTTGGATATGGAGGGAAGGGATTTGGATATGGAGGGAAGGGATTTGGATACGGAGGGAAGGGATTTGGATATGGAGGGAAGTGAAGTGATCTGGATATGAAGAAGTGAAGGGAAGTGATTTGGATATGAAGTGATTTGGATATGGAGGGAAGGGATTTGGATATGGAGGGAAGGGATTTGGATATGAAGTGGAGGGAAGTGATTTGGATATGAAGAAGTGAAGGGAAGGGATTTGGATATGAGGAAGTGAAGGGAAGTGATTTGGATATGAAGAAGTGAAGGGAAGTGATTTGGATATGAAGAAGTGAAGGGAAGTGATTTGGATATGAAGGGAAGGGAAATGATTTGGATATGAAGAAGTGATTTGGATATGAAGGGGAGTGATTTGGATGTGAAGAAGTGAAGGGAAGGGATTTGGATATGAAGTGATTTGGATATGAAGTGAAGCAATTTGGATATGAAGGGAAGTGATTTGGATATGAAGTGATTTGGATATGAAGGGAAGGGATTTGGATATGAGGAAGTGAAGGGAAGTGATTTGGATATGAAGTGATTTGGATATGAAGGGAAGTGATTTGGATATGAAGGGAAGGGAAGTGATCTGGATATGAAGAAGTGAAGGGCAGTGATTTGGATATGAAGAAGTGAAGGGAAGGGATTTGGATATGAAGAAGGGAAGGGAAGTGATTTGGATATGAAGAAGTGAAGGGAAGGGATTAGCAAACAAGCAGGGGATTTAAAGCTCATTGCAAAAGCATCCCATGCTTTCCAACAGCCCCAAAGAGAGGAGCCAGCGGGATTTGGGCTGCAGCCCTTGCTCTAAGGGCGCTGAGATGAGCATCCAAAGGCCATGGGCACCAAAGCTGCTCAACCGCGGGTTAAGCATCCGCCAGCACCTTTCTTTGGCATCCCAGGTGGATATCCCAACAAAAGCCTGGGTTTTCCCTATAAAGAGGCTCTTCTCTCTCAGTTTATTACATAGGAACGATGCCGATTGGGAGCACCCAACCCACTGCATCGCTCCACGACCCCAACGCTCTCCTTCCTTTGGGTTGCAGGTGCTGCCATCGCGGCTCCCATCCGGCTGACGGGGGGCCCCAGCCGCTGCGTGGGGCGGCTCGAGGTGCTCTGGGAGCAGCAGTGGGGCACGGTGTGCGACGACCGCTGGGACCTGCCCCACGCCGCCGTCGTGTGCCGGCAGCTGGGATGCGGGGAAGCGCTGGCGGCGCCGGGATCGGCTCCCTTCGGACGAGGAGAGGGTCCCATTTGGCTCGATGACGTGGAGTGCAATGGCACCGAAGGCGAGCTCGCGGCCTGCAGGACCAGACCCTGGGGAGAGCATAACTGTGACCATGGGGAGGATGCAGGGGTCGTGTGCGCAGGTAAATCACAGCAGTGCTCTCCCCATAGGGTGAGGGTTTGCTCCCGTGGCTTGATTGGTCCATCAGGATCATCCATAGGGATGTGGGGAGAAGATGCAAGGGTTGTATGTGGAGGTAAATCACAGCAGTGCTCTCCCCATAGGGTGAGGGTTTGCTCCCGTGGCTTGATTGGTCCATCGGGATCATCCATAGGGATGTGGGGAGGAGAAGATGCAGGGGTCGTGTGCATGGGTAAATCACAGTGATGCTCTCCCCATAGGGTGAGGGTTTGCTCCCGTGGCTTGATTGGTCCATCGGGATCATCCATAGGGATGTGGGGAGAAGATGCAGGGGTTGTATGTGGAGGTAAATCACAGCAGTGCTCTCCCCATAGGGCGAGGATTTGCTTCCAAAGGCTTGATTGGTCCATCGGGATCATCCATAGGGATGTGGGGAGGAGAAGATGCAGGGGTCGTGTGCATGGGTAAATCACAGCAGTGCTCTCCCCATAGGGTGAGGGTTTGCTCCCATGGCTTGATTGGTCCATCGGGATCATCCATAGGGATGTGGGGAGGAGAAGATGCAGGGGTCGTGTGCATGGGTAAATCACAGCAGTGCTCTCCCCATAGGGTGAGGGTTTGCTCCCGTGGCTTGATTGGTCCATTGGGATCATCCATAGGGATGTGGGGAGGAAAAGCTGCAGGGGTTGTGTGTGGAGGTAAATCACAGCAGTGCTCTCCCCATAGGGTGAGGATTTGCTCGCATGGATGATTGGTCCATCGGGATCATCCATAGGGATGTGGGGAGGAGAAGATGCAGGGGTTGTATGTGGAGGTAAATCACAGCGATGCTCTCCCCATAGGGTGAGGATTTGCTTCCAAAGGCCTGATTGGTCCATCAGGATCATCCATAGGGATGTGGGGAGGAGAAGATGCAGGGGTTGTATGTGAAGGTAAATCACAGCAGTGCTCTCCCCATAGGGTGAGGGTTTGCTCCCGTGGCTTGATTGGTCCATCGGGATCATCCATAGGGATGTGGGGAGGAGAAGATGCAGGGGTTGTATGTGAAGGTAAATCACAGCAGTGCTCTCCCCATAGGGTGAGGGTTTGCTCCCAAAGGCCTGATTGGTCCATCAGGATCATCCATAGGGATGTGGGGAGGAGAAGATGCAGGGGTCGTGTGCATGGGTAAATCACAGCAGTGCTCTCCCCATAGGGTGAGGATTTGCTTCCAAAGGCTTGATTGGTCCATCGGGATCATCCATAGGGATGTGGGGAGAAGATGCAGGGGTCGTGTGCATGGGTAAATCACAGCAGTGCTCTCCTCATAGGGTGAGGGTTTGCTCCCATGGCTTGATTGGTCCATCGGGATCATCCATAGGGATGTGGGGAGGAGAAGATGCAGGGGTTGTGTGCATGGGTAAATCACAGCGATGCTCTCCCCATAGGGTGAGGATTTGCTCCCGTGGCTTGATTGGTCCATCGGGATCATCCATAGGGATGTGGGGAGGAGAAGATGCAAGGGTTGTGTGTGCAGGTAAATCACAGCAGTGCTCTCCCCATAGGGCGAGGGTTTGCTTCCAAAGGCTTGATTGGTCCATCGGGATCATCCATAGGGATGTGGGGAGGAGAAGATGCAGGGGTTGTGTGTGGAGGTAAATCACAGCGATGCAGTCCCCATAGGGTGAGGGTTTGCTCCCGTGGCTTGATTGGTCCATCAGGATCATCCATAGGGATGTGGGGAGGAGAAGATGCAGGGGTTGTGTGCATGGGTAAATCACAGCGATGCAGTCCCCATAGGGTGAGGGTTTGCTCCTGTGGCTTGATTGGTCCATTGGGATCATCCATAGGGATGTGGGGAGGAGAAGATGCAGGGGTCGTGTGCATGGGTAAATCACAGCAGTGCTCTCCCCATAGGGTGAGGGTTTGCTCCCAAAGGCCTGATTGGTCCATCGGGATCATCCATAGGGATGTGGGGAGGAAGATGCAGGGGTTGTGTGTGGGGAGGAGAAGATGCAGGGGTGGTGCATGGGTAAATCACAGCAGTGCTCTCCCCATAGGGTGAGGGTTTGCTCCCATGGCTTGATTGGTCCATCAGGATCATCCATAGGGATGTGGGGAGGAGAAGATGCAGGGGTTGTGTGCATGGGTAAATCACAGCAGTGCTCTCCCCATAGGGTGAGGATTTGCTTCCAAAGGCCTGATTGGTCCATCGGGATCATCCATAGGGATGTGGGGAGGAGAAGATGCAGGGGTCGTGTGCATGGGTAAATCACAGCAGTGCTCTCCCCATAGGGTGAGGGTTTGCTCCCATGGCTTGATTGGTCCATCGGGATCATCCATAGGGATGTGGGGAGGAGAAGATGCAGGGGTTGTGTGTGGAGGTAAATCACAGCAGTGCTCTCCCCATAGGGTGAGGATTTGCTCCCATGGCTTGATTGGTCCATCGGGATCATCCATAGGGATGTGGGGAGGAGAAGATGCAGGGGTCGTGTGCATGGGTAAATCACAGCAGTGCTCTCCCCATAGGGTGAGGATTTGCTTCCAAAGGCCTGATTGGTCCATCAGGATCATCCATAGGGATGTGGGGAGGAGAAGATGCAGGGGTTGTGTGCATGGGTAAATCACAGCAGTGCTCTCCCCATAGGGTGAGGGTTTGCTCCCGTGGCTTGATTGGTCCATCGGGATCATCCATAGGGATGTGGGGAGGAGAAGATGCAGGGGTTGTGTGCATGGGTAAATCACAGCAGTGCTCTCCCCATAGGGTGAGGATTTGCTCCCATGGCTTGATTGGTCCATCAGGATCATCCATAGGGATGTGGGCAGGAGAAGATGCAGGGGTCGTGTGCATGGGTAAATCACAGCAGTGCTCTCCCCATAGGGTGAGGATTTGCTCCCATGGCTTTATTGGTCCGTCAGGATCATCCATAGGGATGTGGGCAGGAGAAGATGCAGGGGTCGTGTGCATGGGTAAATCACAGCAGTGCTCTCCCCATAGGGTGAGGATTTGCTCCCATGCCTTGATTGGTCCATTGGGATCATCCATAGGGATGTGGGGAGGAGAAGATGCAGGGGTCGTGTGCATGGGTAAATCACAGCAGTGCTCTCCCCATAGGGTGAGGATTTGCTCCCAAAGGCCTGATTGGTCCATCGGGATCATCCATAGGGATGTGGGCAGGAGAAGATGCAGGGGTTGTGTGCATGGGTAAATCACAGCAGTGCTCTCCCCATAGGGTGAGGGTTTGCTCCCATGGCTTGATTGGTCCATTGGGATCATCCATAGGGATGTGGGGAGGAGATGCAGGGGTTGTATGTGGAGGTAAATCACAGCGATGCAGTCCCCATAGGGTGAGGATTTGCTCCCATGGCTTTATTGGTCCGTCGGGATCATCCATAGGGATGTGGGCAGGAGAAGATGCAGGGGTTGTGTGCATGGGTAAATCACAGTGATGCAGTCCCCATAGGGTGAGGGTTTGCTCCCATGGCTTGATTGGTCCATCGGGATCATCCATAGGGATGTGGGGAGGAGAAGATGCAGGGGTCGTGTGTGGAGGTAAATCACAGCAGTGCTCTCCCCATAGGGCAAGGATTTGCTTCCAAAGGCTTGATTGGTCCATCGGGATCATCCATAGGGATGTGGGGAGGAGAAGATGCAGGGGTCGTGTGCATGGGTAAATCACAGCAGTGCTCTCCCCATAGGGTGAGGATTTGCTTCCAAAGGCCTGATTGGTCCATCAGGATCATCCATAGGGATGTGGGCAGGAGAAGATGCAGGGGTCGTGTGCATGGGTAAATCACAGCAGTGCTCTCCCCATAGGGTGAGGGTTTGCTCCCGTGGCTTGATTGGTCCATCGGGATCATCCATAGGGATGTGGGGAGGAGAAGATGCACGGAGACCTCAGAGCAGCTCCCGGTGTCCAAAGGGGGCTATAAGGATGCTGGAGAGGGGCCTTCATCATTGATTATAGTGAAGGGATAAGGGGTGATAACGGTGATATGCTGGTGATGATGGTGATGATGCTGGTGATGCTGGTGATGATGATGATGATGGTGATGATGCTGGTGATGCTGGTGATGATGATGATGCTGGTGCTGGTGATGATGAAGATGATGGTGATGATGCTGGTGCTGGTGATGCTGGTAATGCTGATGGTGATGATGATGATGATGGTGATGCTGGTGATGATGCTGGTGGTGCTGGTGATGATGGTGGTGATGATGGTGATGATGATGGTGATGATGGTGATGATGATGGGATGATGGTGATGATGCAGGTGGTGATGATGATGATGCTGGTGATGATGATGATGGTGGTGATGATGGTGATGATGGTGATGATAATGATGCTGGTGATGCTGGTGATGCTGGTGATGATGCAGGTGGTGATGATGATGATGCTGGTGATGATGATGATGCTGGTGATGATGGTGATGATGGTGATGGTGCTGGTGATGATGATGATGCTGGTGATGATGATGATGCTGGTGATGCTGGTGATGATGCCGGTGATGAATGCCAGTGATGATGCTTGGTGATGATGATGCTGGTGATGCTGATGGCAATGATGATGCTGGTGATGATGATGCTGGTGATGATGATGATGGTGATGATGCTGGTGCTGGTGGTGATGATGCCGGTGATGATGCTGGTGATGATGCTGGTGATGCTGATGTCAATGATGAGCTGGTGATGATGATGATGGTGATGGTGGTGGTGATGCTGGTGATGATGCCAGTGATGATGCTTGGTGATGATGATGCTGGTGATGCTGATGGCGATGATGATGCTGGTGATGATGATGCTGGTGCTGGTGGTGATGATGCTGGCGATGCTGCTGCTGCCACAGCATTAAGATGATGGATTTAAACACGCCACTCTCCATTCCCCCCCCCAATTCCCTTCACCCCAGGGCCTGCATCCCCGGTGCCGGTGAGGCTGGTGAACGGCTCCAGCCGCTGCGCTGGCCGGGTGCAGGTGTTCTACGGCCGTCGATGGGGCACGGTGTGCGACGACCACTGGGACGTGAGGGACGCCGAGGTGGTGTGCAGGCAGCTGGGCTGTGGGGCCGCCCTCTCCGCCCCCCCAGCCGCTGCCTTTGGCATGGGCCCGGATCCCGTTTGGTTGGATGATGTGGGTTGCAAGGGCACCGAAACCGCCCTCTCCCAGTGCGCCGCGAAGCCTTGGGGGACCCACAACTGCGCTCACCGCGAGGACGCCGGGGTCGTGTGCGCGGGTAAAGGGGGGGGCTATGGGGTGGAGGAGGCCCCCGTCCCTGAGCCCAGCATCCGTGGGGGTCGGGAGATGAAGAGGGATCCATCCTGGAAAGCCCTCGTTGGGATGCTGCAGGAAGGGATCTCTCCTTGGTCACCGCAGAGAGGGGCTTCGGCATCACCCCATTGAATGCAGTCCCTATGGAAGGAGCCTATAAGAAACCTGGAGAGGGGCTTTGGAGAAGGGATGGGGCAATGGGAATGGCTTTAACCTGGCAGAGAGGGGGGGGGATTGAGATGAGCTCTTAGGGAGATCCCTATGAGGAGGGTGGGACATCGGAATGGGCCCAATGGAGAAGCTGGTCCGAGGTGTCCCCATGGCAAGGGGATGGATCTGGATGGGCTTCAAGCTCCATCCCATCCCAATCCACCCCGGGATGCTGCGATGGGCGCTTCACGGGATGCTTCCCCATTGGAAGGACCCATTGGCCACATTCCACACCGGAATCCTTTCCCCATGGATCGTTTTTCCCCTCTCCCTTCCCTTCCAGGCCATGTGGAACCTGCCCCACTTCGCTTGATGGGGGGCTCCAAGCCCTGCTCCGGACGAGTGGAGGTCTTCTATGGGCAGCAATGGGGAACGGTGTGCGACGATGGCTGGGACCTGAGGGAGGCCAACGTGGTCTGCAGGCAGCTGGGCTGTGGCAAGGCTCTGAGGGCCTCCCATGGGGCTGCCTATGGGGAAGGATCAGGCCCCATTTGGCTCGACGACGTGGAATGCGAAGGGACCGAAGATGCTTTGGCCCAATGCAAAGCCCCTGCCTGGGGAAGCCACAACTGTGGGCACAGAGAGGATGCTGGCGTGGTTTGCACAGGTACCCAAGGATTGGGATGGGGCAAGGGGAGGCTCTTTGGGGCTGGGGGGGGAGACCCGTTCAGGCACATCCTGGTGCCAGCAGCATCCTTCCATTGAGTGCATTCTGGGTACCAGAAGCATCCTTTGAGTGCATTCTGGGTACCAGCAGCATCCTTCCATTGAGTGCATTCTGGGTACCAGAAGCATCCTTCCATTGAGTGCATTCTGGGTACCAGAAGCATCCTTCCATTGAGTGCATTGTGGGTACCAGAAGCATCCTTTCATTGAGTGCATTCTGGGTACCAGCAGCATCCTTCCATTGAGTGCATTCTGGGTACCAGCAGCATCCTTTCATTGAGTGCATTCTGGGTACCAGCAGCATCCTTCCATTGAGTGCATTGTGGGTAACTTCCATTGAGTGCATTGTGGGTACCAGCAGCATCCTTTCATTGAGTGCATTGTGGGTACCAGCAGCATCCTTTCATTGCATTCTGGGTACCAGCATCCTTCCATTGAGTGCATTTTGGGTACCTTTTCATTGAGTGCATTCAGGGTACCAGCAGCATCCTTCCATTGAGTGCATTCAGGGTACCAGGAGCATCCTTTCATGAGTGCATTCTGGGTACCAGCAGCATCCTTTCATTGAGTGCATTGTGGGTACCAGAAGCATCCTTTCATTGAGTGCATTCTGGGTACCAGCAGCATCCTTCCATTGAGTGCATTCTGGGTACCAGCAGCATCCTTTCACTGAGTGCATTCTGGGTACCAGAAGCATCCTTTGAGTGCATTCTGGGTACCAGAAGCATCCTTCCATTGAGTGCATTCTGGAGGCAGAGGATGCAGGCATTCAGGTATCCTCCATCCCTGCCCTATCCCAATCGGCATTCCTTGGTACCCAGCTTTGAGGCAGGATGCTGGGGCTGGCGCCTCCTTGCTCTTCGCCCGCATCCCCTTCTTGTCTTGGCCGAGTCGAAGGGGGTGATGCTGGAGCTGGAGCTGGGTGGTTTTTGGGGGGGGATGATTCCCATCTTCCAACTGGAATCGCTTCCCTGTCCCTGGGCGTTATCTCCACGTCAGGCCCATTCAAGCTCCCTTTCCATCCTTGTCATTCCAGGCGGGATCTAAGCCCCATGGCTGGGGAGGAGAGGGGTGGTTTTGCCTTCAAGCCAAGCAAAAGGGAAGCTCTGAACTCCATGGGGCACCAAAGAGGACAACCGAGGCTCGAGTCGACCCCATTCCCAAGGGATGCCCCCCCTTCCCCACACCATTGGGGGCATCCCTTGGGACCCATTGCAGGTAATGAAGAGCGATGGGAAGCGCATGGAGGCACCGTCCCCGTGTGTGTCCCCCTCGTTCATGGACCTCGAGGCCCTTTGAGCCCTTCCCTCCCCTTCCCGAGCCCCTTCCCAAGCTCTGGAGCGGCTGCAATAAAGGCGGATGCGAGCCCCACGCTCCCGTGGTCCATGGGGCGGTCTCCATGGCGACCGCCGCGGTGCCGGCATCACCTGCGCCCCAACGGGAGCATCCCCACAGCATCCCTCGGGGCACGGAATGGGGTGGGGGGGGCTTCCATAGGAACAGCACGTCCCAGAACATACGTGTCCTGTGCACACATGTGTCCTGTGCACACACATGTCCTGTGCACACACATGTACCATGCACACACGTGTCCCCGTGCACACACGTGTCCCCATGCACACACGTATGATGCACACACGTGTCCTGTGCACACACGTGTCCTGTGCACACACATGTCCTATGCACACACATGTCCTGTGCACACATATGTCCCCATGCACACACGTACGATGCACACACGTGTCCTGTGCACACACATGTACCATGCACACACGTGTCCTGTGCACACACGTGTCCCCATGCACACACGTGTCCTCTGCACACACGTGTCCTATGCACACACGTGTCCCCATGCACACACATGTCCCCATGCACACACATACCATGCACACGTGTCCTGTGCACACACATGTCCTGTGCACACACATGTACCATGCACACACGTGTCCCCGTGCACACACGTGTCCCGTGCACACACATATGATGCACACACGTGTCCTGTGCACACATATGTCCCCATGCACACACGTACCATGCACACGTGTCCTGTGCACACACGTGTCCTATGCACACACGTGTCCCGTGCACACACATGTCCCCATGCACAGACATGTACACATGCACATACATGTCCCCATGCACACACGTGTCCCCATGCACACACGTGTCCCCGTGCACACACGTGTCCCCATGCACACACGTATGATGCACACACGTGTCCTGTGCACACATGTGTCCTGTGCACACACATGTCCTGTGCACACACGTGTCCCCGTGCACACACGTGTCCCACGCACACACGTGTACCATGCACACACGTGTCCTCTGCACACACGTGTCCTGTGCACACACGTACGATGCACACACATGTCCTGTGCACACACGTGTACCATGCACACACGTGTCCCCATGCACACACGTATGATGCACACACGTGTCCTCTGCACACACGTGTCCTGTGCACACACGTGTCCTCTGCACACACATGTCCTGTGCACACACGTGTACCATGCACACACGTGTCCCCATGCACACACGTATGATGCACACACGTGTCCTGTGCACACATGTGTCCTGTGCACACACGTGTCCCCATGCACACACGTGTCCCCATGCACACACGTACGATGCACACACGTGTCCTATGCACACATATGTACCATGCACACACATGTACCATGCACACACATGTCCTGTGCACACAGGGGTCCCCATGCACACACGTGTCCCCGTGCACACACGTGTCCTGTGCACACATATGTCCCCATGCACACATGTACCATGCACACGTGTCCTGTGCACACACGTGTCCTGTGCACACACGTGTCCTATGCACACACATGTACCATGCACACACATGTCCTGTGCACACACGTGTCCCGTGCACACACGTCCCCATGCACACACGTACCATGCACACGTGTCCTGTGCACACACGTGTCCCGTGCACACACATGTCCCCATGCACACACGTGTCCCCATGCACGTACATGTCCCCATGCACACACACATGAACACAGGTCCCCATGCACACACGAACCACGTGCACACACATGTGCCACACACATCTCCATGCACATACATGTACCACGTGCACACACACACACGTGAACACACATGTACCACGTGCACACACACGTGCACACACATGTACCACGTGCACACACACGTGAACACACGTGTACCACGTGCACACACACGTGTACCACGTGCACACACATGTACCACGTGCACACACACATGTGAACACACATGTACCACGTGCACACACACGTGAACACACGTGTACCACGTGCATACACACGTACCACGTGCACACACACGTGAACACACGTGTACCACGTGCACACACATGTACCACGTGCACACACACGTGAACACGCACGTACCACGTGCACACACACGTGAACACACGTGTACCACGTGCACACACACGTGCACACACACGTGAACACGCACGTACCACGTGCACACACACACGTGAACACACATGTACCACGTGCACACACACGTGAACACACATGTACCACGTGCACACACACGTACCACGTGCACACACACGTGAACACACATGTACCACGTGCACACACACGTGCACACACACGTGAACACGCACGTACCACGTGCACACACACACGTGAACACACATGTACCACGTGCACACACACGTGAACACACATGTACCACGTGCACACACACGTACCACGTGCCCACACACGCACACGTCCCCGCGCACACTTGCCCCGCCCCCAGCCCGTTCCCCTCCCTCAGCCCCGCCCCCCGGAAGTGACGTTACGGCGCAGCGCGCGAGCGCGGCCGGAAGCGGCTCCGGGGGAGGCGGCGGCGGCGGCCGGTGGGGAACGGTGAGAACGGGAACGGGAACGGGAACGGGGATGGGAATGGGGATGGGAACGGGGATGGGGATGGGGACGGGGATGGGGACGGGGATGGGAACGGGGATGGGGATGGGAATGGGGATGGGAACGGGGACGGGGATGGGGACGGGAACGGGGACGGGGACGGGAACAGGGATGGGAACGGGAACGGGGATGGGGATGGGAACGGGTATGCGAACGGGAACGGTGAGAACGGGAACAAGGATGGGAACGGGAACGGGGATGGGGATGGGGATGGGGACGGTGGGGACGGGAAAGGGAACGGGAACTGGGATGGGGATGGGAACGGGGATGGGGATGGGAACGGGAACGAGGATGGGGATGGGAATGGGAACGGGGATGGGGATGGGAACGGGGATGGGAACGGGAACGGGGATGGGAATGGGAACGGGGATGGGGATGGGAATGGGAACGGGGATGGGGATGGGAACGGGGATGGGGATGGGAACGGGAACGGGGATGGGGATGGGAACGGGGATGGGGATGGGAATGGGAACGGGGAGGGGAGGATCCATTGCGATGTTGAAGGTGGGGGGGGGGGCTGAGGTACCGGAGGCTCCGGGGGTCAGGGGGGCCGGGGGGGGGTGAGGGGGGGGGAGAGAAACTGTGTTAGGAATGGGGGGTGCTGGGATGAAGGACTGGGATGTGAGGGGATGAAGGACTGGGATGCGCTGGGGTGAAGGACTGGGATGTGCTGGGATGAAGGACTGGGATGTGCTGGGATGAAGGACTGGGATGCGCTGGGGTGAAGGACTGGGATGTGCTGGGATGAAGGACTGGGATGCGCTGGGGTGAAGGACTGGGATGTGCTGGGATGAAGGACTGGGATGCGCTGGGGTGAAGGACTGGGATGTGCTGGGATGAAGGACCGGGACGCGCTGGGATGAAGCACTGGGATGTGCTGGGGTGATGAACTGGGATGTGCTGGGATGAAGGACTGGGATGTGGTGATGGACAGGGATGTGCTGGGGTGAAGGACTGGGATGTGCTGGGATGAAGGACTGGGGTGTGCTGGGATGAAGGACTGGGATGCGCTGGGATGAAGGGCTGGGACGTGCTGGGATGAAGGACTGGGATGCGCTGGGATGAAGGACTGGGATGCGCTGGGAGGAAGGACTGGGATGTGCTGGGATGAAGGACTGGGATGCGCTGGGATGAAGCACTGGGACATGCTGCGATGATGGATGGTTCATACTGGGAAGGATTGGGATTTACCGTATGGGCACTGGCGCATACTGGGGGGTTCCGGTTGCAATGGGCTTTGGGAGGCTGATGTGGCGGAGCGTCCCCTCGATCCCACAGGGAATTCCTACCAGGAATTCCCCTGTGAACCCCTCACTGCCCCCCTCCCCCCCCCAAGCTGCTCCCTCCCGTGCTTCCAGGATGGAATCTCGCCCCATTCCCAGGATTGGGCTCGGCCGTGGCCCCGTCTCCCCGGAGCCATCCCTATAGGAACCTGTGAGTGTGTGCGGGATCCCCATGGAGAAACCCTCCCCATCCCCATCCCCTCGCTGCCTGCTCCATCCCATCGCTCCTCTCCTCCCAGCCGCCATGGAAGAGCGAGCGGAGCCTTTATCCCGGCGCCTTCCCATCGGGGCTGAGGCTGAAGACGAGGAGGAGGAGGAGGAGGCAGCCGGGATGCATCCGGCGCGTGCTGCGAGCAGCGCTCCGAGCCTTGGCGATGGAGGAGCCTCCCCGCGCCGGCACCGGCACCACCGAGGCCTCAAGACCGAGGCCGGCGCGGGTCCCGCGTCCCCGGCGCGCCGGGAAGAGCCGGGGCCTTCCCGCGGGAAGCGGCTGCGCCTGCTGTGGATGGAGGACGGAGCGCGGAGCAGCGACGACGACGATGACGATGATGATGACGATGAAGAGAGCGGCTCCACCGGCGTTCCCCGTGCCAAAGGCGACTTGGTGCAGCTGATCGACGAGCGCGGCATCTACTCGACGGCCAAGCTGGTGCTGGAGGAGGCGGTGTCGGGGCTGCCGTTACCGTCGTCGGTGGCCACCGGCGCCGAGCTGGAGATCCGCGAGGTCATCGTGGACGAGAAGCCCTTCCAGTGCGCGGTGTGCGCCAAAGCCTTCAAGCGGGCTTGGGAGCTGCTGAGCCACGAGGTGGTGCACAACGAGGAGCGTCCCTTCCGCTGCGCCCTG